ATGGTTAAAATCCTTACTGTAATGGCTGTCAGGGAGATGCTATCTCAGTATATAGAAACCTTCACATCTGTGCCTCAGCTGAATGAAGATAATGTGTTTAATGACTCTCTTAGCCTTTTGCTTTGGAGCCAGAAAGCAGTATGAGTTACGTCCCTGTAGCCTTCTGCAAAAGGCTGAGCTTTTTCAGTTGCTGTTACAGTTCCACAATATCTATGAATAACCAAAATTGCATTAAGTACTACAGGGGCATCTTTAAACACAGACTTAATTCAAGAATCTGATACGTTTTTCAGAAATAATATTAAAGTACAGTTATCCTCTTCAATGTATGCAGTTTGGGAAATTGTATGTTTAGTGATTTTTTTTGTGTGTGTGTCCGGGGGTGCATGCTGTCTCAACATTCTTCACATGAAAAGCATTTTAAAGCTGTTTTAAGTGTGTGTTACTGCACAGCTATTACACTTTTATGATTTGAAGCTTTAAATCAGATAATAAATTGTCTTTGATAAAATACATACTTGTTGAATTAGGGTTTGTAGCCACATATTTACAATGTTTAAGTCGAAATGCCTGATTAGTGTTTTAAATGGTATTGTGGTCTGCAATACATTTACTAAGTAATACAGTTCTTTGTTACAGTCTTTTGAGGTGTTGAGATACTGCTTGCAAGACTGCCACGTCTGAAGGGGAATAAATAATAAAAGATTACTTTAGCCTTGGGAAACTAGTTTTCTCCAGTCACTTTCAATTACCAGTGAAGAAAGATCTGGCAATCTGAATCCTCAGGGGTTGGTGGGAGAAATCAGCTTTTGCTGTTAAAGGTAGCCCAAGCATCCCTGATGGTTAACCTCTCTGAACTACAGTTATTCTGTGAATTTGCTCTCCATGTTTATATGTTATGATTCAGTTAACTAAGCCATTTCCTTAAAAAAAAAACAAAAAAAACCAACCCAAACCCAGAAAAACCAACCAACCAAACCCCACAACCATAACCAACTTGGATAAAGACAGCTCCAGTGCAGCTCAACCCGTACATGTCCATGTGACCGAATGAAATGCATCTGAAGGAGTGTGAGAGATGTCATTGCAGAGATGCTGTCATCTTTGAAGGATCATGAGGCCTGGGGAGATGTCTTCATTAACTGGAAAAAAGCAAACTGTGCACCCATCTTGAAAAAGAATGAGGACAATCTGGCAAAGACAGTCAATTGACCTTATCTCAGTCCTTAGGAAAATCATGGAGTTGGTCCTCTTGGACCTTATTTCTGGGCACATGGAGGTGGTCATTAGGAATAGCTGGCGTCAATTTACCAGGGGTAAATAGTGCTTGACCAACATGATTGCCTTTTATAACAAGATGGCTAGATCTGTGAATGAGAGAACACAAGGGTGTCACTAACCTTGACTTTAGCAAGGCTTTTGACCTCTTCTGTGACACCATCCTTGTGCCATAGTCTAGATGGGTGTACTGCTGGATACATAGGAAAATCATCAGGTGTAAAGACTAGTGGCTAAGGGTTCATATTCTACCTGGAGGCTCGTTGCAAGTGGTGTTCTTCAGGGTCCATATTGTTTAGTATCTTTATCAGTGACCTAGAGAGAAGATGGAACATGCTCACTGAGTTTGCAGACACCACCAAACTAGGGGGTGCAGTCAATATCTGTGAAGGTGTATTCAGAAGGACTTAGCGTAGAGGGATGGTCTGATAGGAACCTCTTGAAATTCAAGGACAAATGCTAAGTCCTGCTCCTAGAATAGGCTAACCTCCTGCAGTGGTACTGGCACCTTGATGTGCCAGACTTAAGACTGTACTGGTCTGCATCAGTAAGAGCACAGCCAGGATATTGAGGGAAGAGGTCATTCCCCTCTGTTTTGCGCTTGTTGGACAAAAGCCCTGAGCAACATGGTCAGAATTCAGCGCTAACCCTGCTCAGAGGAGGAGGTTAGGCTAGGTGACCTTATGAGGTTCACTCCCACCTGATTAATTTAAATTGTACTTAGGGTTCTCAGAATGTGCTCCCTTTTCTGTTCAAGTTGTTACTTTCAAACCTTCATGTGTAATCCAAGGACTGTTCCAGGAGATTCAGGTATAAACAAAGACATGAAATATCGTATTAAGCATGATAAAATTCCTTTGTAGCAGCACAGTAGGGTATGATATAGATCTGTGCTTCCCCCCCCCCCTTTTTTTTTGTGCTCATGCCTTTGAGTCTTTAGAAAGTTAATACTTTAGAAAGTTAATAATTAATAAGTTAGAAAGTCCTTAGTTCTTCATCTACAGAGTGGGGATAGTACATCCTCTTTGTAATGCTTTCTCACCCATACAATCCTCAGTTTTGAAATCTCTAGTTCTGCCTCTGAGCCCATTCAGTGTAAATTTGTGTCTTTGCAGAGTCTGAAACTTAATGTTTTTCCAGATCACTTACACTGTGTACAGATGCTCCCTCTCTTTGTAGGTCTCTGATCTCTAGCTGCACTGCAATACAAACGTACTTTGATACATGAATTCCTCGCTGCTCTTAGCTAGCAAATCAGTTAATGCAAGTTAACGGTAGTTGGAGGTGCGTTGCCTGTTCATTGCAAGTTTTCAGGGTCTTACCCCATAAATGTTTTTGCATTGAAAAGCTCTTCCTGAAAATCACTGGTTGCAGCTGTTGGCCTGTTGCATGCTCATATTCCGAGAGAGGTGACAAGCACCATCCTCCCCTTTGCCAGAGATGCTCTGTCACCATGCTGGCTCATTTTACCATGGCTGGTCTGTTGGGTCACTTCATAGACAATAGTGCAGAACAGATTGTATTTGTATCCTTTTCTCAAATGAACAGTAAAACTTCATGTAATCCTGGAGTCTTTGGCCTTTTTGTTACGAATATTTAAAGGGACACTGGTAACCTGTGAGATGACAAACTGAAAGAGAATGTTGTGTGGCTTGTTTTTTACTGGACAGCAGCAGTGGCATTTGCCAGTGCATTAAATTAGTAGGCAGTAACTCATACGGCATACGTCATGGTTTGCTCTATAATCACTTTACATTATGTAAAAGCTTGCCATTAGCTGACCTTCAGTCTCTTCAGGGATTGAACAGTTATTTCCCTCCTGTACCAATGTCATTTGCAATTTCTTTAAAGCTTGCTTATTTCTAAAACCACTTTAATTTTGATTCATCCGGGGATTAGATCCACTGTGAAGTAATAATAATTTGAATAATCATTGTTGCTTTCAAGGACTTAGAAACTGTTTTTCCTCAGCTGAATTGTTGGATTTAAGTGCTGTGGGAAATGGTGTAGCGGTGCCTCACACTTTCACATTCACAGCTTGCGCAGATTTATTTCAAGCACCAGCATTTTTGTAACTTTTGGGAGTAGAGGCTGACATTTTGAGATAAGTCTGTAATGTAAGTAACTCAAAGCTGAGCACTTCCAGTTTGCATGCTACAAACTAATTAACTGTTCTGTGAGTGGTTATATTCCTTGGTCAATGTTCGTGTCCTTCTCTCAGGGTTTGCTGCAGGGAAGCTGAGCAAATGAAAAAAGGCAATAGGACGGTGAACTGTTGTAGTTTTGAAATGGAAGTGTAACTGAGGTTCTTCCTATCTCCTAGTTGCTGTAGAGAAGAGGTCTGTAAATGCTTCTAATTTATCACTGTGGATGCAAGTAAAACTTACAATTTTTTTAAATTGTAGTATCACAGGTTTGCTGTGAATTCTTTTGCTTTCCCTTTTTGTTAATGTTGCTAGTTTTTTGGGGGGAGATTTTTTTTTAACATTTAACTTCAAAAATTATTATGTTTTGCACTCCAACCAATTTAGAGGGCTTACTGCTAAATCTTCCTGTACTTTAATTGTTTATTGCCTTATTTTAAATTTACATTGCCAAATTTTGATGGTACAAGTGCTGCCTTAACAGAACTGTTAGTGACTGTTGGAAAAGCACAATGCAGCACACGCAGTTGTGTTCACACAAAGCAAAGAATAAACCTCTGTCTGTGAGTGTTGATTGATTTCAATAGGCTTTTCAGTAGCTCTGCATATTACAATTCTTAGCACCTAGAATACATTCATATTCATTACGGCAGTACAGTTCAGCCCCTGCTCGTGACTTGATTTTTTTTTCTTTTTTTCCCCATCCCCTCTTCTACTGAAGCATGAAGTAGAATTATTTTTCTAGTCCTAGTAATGTGTTCTAGAAGACGTTACGGCTCTTTTCTCAGAATGATTGAAAAGGCATCTTTCGGCTTCTTCCATCTTGTAAGAAACATGTTAAATACTAGAAATTAAAGCTTTTTGGAATCTTTCATGATGACCCTTGTGGCTATTGAGACTGTGAGGTGCTGGGCATGTATGGCATGCAATCGTTTGTATGAACAGTTAGTGGAAGAACTAATTGGTATGTAGTAGTGCCATCTTTTAAAAATATGAATACTTGCTTCTTTATTTGCATGTATGGAGGATGGGGGGGATTCATTCTTTGGATGCTGGAAATCTGTTTAAAATGCTTTTTTGTTTGCTTGTAACTTGGCTTTGTTAGTTGAACACTCGTTTAAACCAAGTATTTTTTGATAGTCTGAATGCCCGTATTTTATTGTAGGAAATCGTACTTCTCTGTCTCTTGAATTTAGACTTAGTGATGTAATAAGTGTGTCTTTCACTTATACACATAAACAGCGGTAGTCTACTTGAAAATAATATTACAAGAGTTTTAGCAAATAATTCCTGTTTCATTCACTTACAGCAAAATCTATAATCAGGTATGATGTTCTTTGCCCTTATCTCTAATGTACAGTTAACATTTGTACAAAATGAAACAGGCTCTTCTTTCTTAAAAACAAAAAAAAAAGTACATGTGACAGCATGAATTAATTGGACCCTTAAGTTTGAAATACTTCATCTTTAAGACATTTAATCTGCTATCCTAATAATGAGAAGTTCAGACAGCTGTTTAGTTTTGAGTATTTGATTAACGCATTTAATATATTGATATATGACATATTACCTTTGTAGATGAACCGACTAGTCCTAGTATTGACCATGATATTGCACACATTCGCTTCTGCTGTTCTTTCTGCATCTGCTTCTCAAGCACCAGCTATAACAACTGTTCCTCCCAGTCCCACATCTCCAATCCCTTTAATTCGGCGACAGCTTTCACATGATCATGGTGAGTGTTGATCACATTTTTTTTTCTCATGCAACTTTTTCCCTTTACACTCTGCAGAACAGGAGTGAAAATTGTAAACTCTTCATTGCTCAGAATAAATTGCAAAAATGTGATTCAGGTTCGTATATACTCAAAAATTTCTATTTGTTTGTAGAATCCATCCGGCCTAGTGTCCTGGATAGCCAGCCTGCTGCAAAAACTGAGAGATCAAAGTCATATGATGAAGGACTGGATGACTACAGAGAAGAGGGAAAATCGTAAGTTCTTGAAAAATCAGTTAACTTGGAGATCTGTTTTTCAAAGTGTATAAAATCTCATTTTAACATTTGTTTTTCTCCCAACAGATCCATTAAGCATGTATCTAGTTTAAAGGGGATTAAGGTAGGTGTGTGTATATATATATATATATAACCTCTCCTAAGAATTACCCATGCTGCTGTGACAGGTTGTATGAATTATACAACTCAGTTATACAAAGTGATGTGTTAAACACAGACATGAAGTTTATTGGAATTGCTACTCATCAAATTGCTCTTAATTTTGATTGATTTTGATATTTAAATTCATTCTAATGCTTTTCCCCATTTGGTGCTGTATGCTTATGCATTTACTTATGCATAAGTAAACAAGGTCACTTTTTTTCCTAGGCTCACCACGTGGTCCTTGACTTTCCATTTTCCTCAGCTTCTGTAAACAAAGCATATCTATGGTGTGCTTTTGTAAAAACTTATTAATGAGAGTCTAAGACTCCTGTAGTTCCTCAAAGTATTCTTGGGATGTGTCAGGTCACTACTGTTGTATGGAAACTTTAGAAATTAGTTTTTCCCATGGGGGATATTCTCAGGGGCTTTTTGCTGAATGAGGTGTCAGCTTTTAAAGAGAGAAACATCTTGAATGTAGGGATTGTAGAGAAATGTATTTAGAAGTACACTGTGGGGCTTTTTCTGTGATGTTTTCTTTAGGTCGCAGACAGCCAGAAATCTTCAGAAGACTCAGGTTCCCGAAAAGATTCTTCTTCAGAGGTCTTTGGTGATGCCTCCAAGGAAGGTTGGCTTCATTTTCGTCAGCTTGTTACGGACAAGGGAAAGGTACCTGTCATGTTTTTAACCTGGCACAAATATTAGCTGGTGGAAACCTAAGTTAAGAAACTTAAAGCCTTCCTGGTTTGTGTTTTTAATTAAAATTTTTGGCATATGAGGATCAATAAGACTGACAAAATTTTAGACCTGTTAGAACATTGACTCTAGTGAATTCCTCAGCTTCTTTTACAGACTGCTTTCTGAACTGTCTTCTGATCTTCTGAACTGATAGGACAAGAGGAAGTGGCCTCAAGTTCTGCCAGGGGAGGTTTAGACTGGATATTAGGAAAAATTTCTTCACTGAAAGGGTTGTCAAGCATTGGAACGGGCTGCCCAGGGAATTGGTTGAGTCCCCATCCCTGGAGGTATTTAAAAGATGGGTCGATGTGGTGCTTAGGGACGTGGTTTAGTGGTGGAATGGCAGTGTTAGGTTTATGGTTGGATTTGATAATCTTAAAGGTCTTTTCCAGCCTAAATGATTCTATGATTCTAATTTTATATTCCAAAGCATCTGAAGTAAACTAATTTCTAATGACTAAGTAAGTAGCAACAATCGGTCCCTTGATAATTGTAGTTTGAAAAAAGCTGTAGTTTTTGTGACTGTTGTGGATTTGAGTTCAGACTAAACTTCTGCAAGCATATAGGCTAACGCTAAAGGAAAATTGGGAGTCTGGAATTGCAGTGGCGTGTAAACATGAGTCTGACTTGAATGGACTAAGTATTTTTTATTATATTTGTATTAATGCCTCTGTGAAATTCTAGTCACATTCTGTTTCTTGCTACTGTCATATGTGAACACACGCTTAATGGGTGACCAGGGAGGGCAGGCTACTGAGCAATTCACTCCTCTAATGGAGAGCAATTAGTGTACTTCTGTGTAGTCTTTCCACAGGTCATTCTTAAGAATGGTACAGGTACGTGGTTACTCTTTCTTTTTAAAACTTCTGGAGGTTTCTTTTTAATCCAGAAACATTCACTGTAGCCAATAAGCAAGCTAACACATCAGTTGATGTTTTTCAGCGAGTTGGTGGGAGCATTCGGCCCTGGAAGCAGTTGTATGTCGTTCTTCGAGGTCATTCACTTTATTTGTACAAGGATAAAAAGGAACAAGTGACCCCGTCTGAAGAAGAACAACCTATAAGCATCAATGCCTGTTTGATAGACATCTCATACTGTGAAACCAAGAGGAAAAACGTGTTCAGACTCACCACATCAGACTGCGAGTATCTGTTTCAAGCCGAGGACAGAGATAATATGTTAGCATGGATTAAAGCAATACAAGACAATAGCAACTTAAATGATGAGGTAACCATATAATATATAATGCAGAAGCCATAATTCTTGTCTTCTAATTAAAAATTGATTGCATTTTCTTGTACTTAATACTTCAACAAAAGAAATCATTTCCATTAAACAATAGACCAAAATGTGTACAGGAGCGTACAAGACAATGAGGTGAAAGGCAAGATAACTGAGTAAATAAATTGAGTTTAAAAAAAGCCTGTGACATTCTTACAATGAGAGAGCAGACTTTTGGAAATAGATGTCATTGCTGATTTGACTGAAGATACACTTTATATTAAACTGCTCTGTCAAAAATCCCTAATCTTTTTTAAGATAATTGCAGTATTAGAACCAGTGTGTTCTGTCTTCAGACTTGCACTGCAGAGTGGTGTGTGCAGTGGTACAGTGTGGTGAGTTTCTCAGTAGTTAAAAAGTGAAACCTTGAAGGATGTCTGTTTCCGTGATTAAATGTTGATGTTTCTGTGAATTAGTTAATGCTAATTACAAAAGGCAAACATACACTGTTGTACATATAATATCAGTAGCTGTCCCAATATTGTCCTCAGTGCATTTTCATTCCAGTGATGAGCAACAGAGGAATATTTTCATGTCTGTGATCAGGCACATCTGCTCAGATTTGAAATAATCATCCAAAGGAAAATGGATTAATAAACATTATTAGATGGATAAAAGCACATTTGAATTCATGGCTGTTTCAGCTGTATGTGTGGTAGCAATCAGTTATATAAGTACTGTGTACACATAGGATTGGATTTTGCAGAGTTGTAGGGTGTGTTGACTTGCATGGTTTTTATTTAAACTTCCAATTCAACAGGATTTAATCAGATCATATTGCTTTGGGGAAAAAAATGGAACTAGTATTTAATTTGTAATTCCTCGCTTTAGTTTTCCTCATGGTTTTTAAATGTTTTGTCCTTACTGTTCTAAAGGATTTTCTTTTTTTTTTTTAACTGTACTGAAATGTTAATTTTTCATGTGTGGTCTGTTGACAGGAAGAGTTAATCATATTCTTAAAGTAAAAAAATATTTGTTGTATTTTAAAGATTGTAAAGTAGATCTCAATTTGTTTTCTAGGATACTGGTGTTACTAGTAGAGATCTAATTAGTCGAAGGATTAAAGAATACAGCACAATGATGAGGTAGGTGAATTATATGCTTACTGCCAGTAGTTTTTGTAGACTTCTTACCTAGCTTCTTTTTACTGAAGTAATATATCTTGTCTCAGTTCTTCAAGCAGCAAAACAGAGCCATCTCCCAAAACACCTCGCCAGAGTCTAAGTATCAGACAGACTCTGCTTGGAACTAAAGCAGAACAGAGGACCCAGAGTCCGCATTCTCCTAAGGATGAGTCTGAAAGGAAGCTTCTCACTAAAGGTCCGTATGCTTTGTGTATTTCTTCAGTTCCTTATAGACCCAGTGTGAAGCCGTTGAGGTGCCTTTCTCACGTTTTTCAAACTCATGGATGTACAGATGCAAACCAAGTATTAACCAGGGTTTTTTTTGAGCTACAGTTATAATCACTCATTTCCTCTAACTGCTTCATTTAGATGTTATCGTAGATATACTTGAGGTCTTCACAGATCCTTGAAGCTTTTTATTCCAGTCCTCTCTCAAGAGGGTTTTGGGTTCTTTTTCCTACAGTTCCATTTAGTGTTAACAGTAGTAAAATATAGGTGTTACACTTCTTGTGACCAAAATTTTGCCAAGCTTTGGAAATAATTGTGTGTGTAATTCATACTTTTGTCTCCAGCTAACTTGGAAAATAACAAGGTAAATTAACATTTTAAATATGCTGTTAAGAAACCAAAGGTTTCCACTGAAATGTTTTAGAAGTAGAGAATTTATTTTTTTTTTTTAATCTTAATCTTTAAAATACAGGACAGAAACTGTATTACTTTTTTCAGAACAAAAAATAATGCCTGCTGCATTCTAAAAAAGGTCCCATGAGCTGGCACTGCAAACTTAAATCAGTAACTGAACTCCCATCAAATAATGTCAGAATGTGTAAAGGTATGGTATTTCTGATCAGACTGTGCCTGTAAGAATGTTGCATACAAATTCAGGCAACTGGCTGAGCAATCATTTTTGATCAACCGCTTTTGAACAGTTTAGTCTTGAATTTAAGCTGTGAGTGAATTCTCCTTTATGTTACCAAGAAATATCCCTTTGCTCCCGCTATGCTACAGATTGGTAACTAAATTGCAGACGCTAGGTAGATGTCAAATCTGCTGAAAGAGTATTTCCAGAAATACTTGAATAAGAAGGAAGTACTATTGTATTAGGTGACTTGCAGTACAAGATAAATGGGAATTGCATTTTGCTACATGGATTGTATAGGAAAGGTAAACAGAGCAACTGAACTTTTTACCTGATTTTTGGATAGATAATACTTTTAAGTATTTGAGTCCTGTTTGGAATGATTTAGGAGTGACTAAAATCTGGTAATTTTTGAAAGAGTGAGTCGGTCTGGACAAGTGTGAGCATGGCTGTATAGTTTCATAGGTATTTTGTGCAGCACTGTGTTCAGTAGAGACTCAATCTTGCCTTGCTAAATGTAGATTTTATTTTTTTAAAATGCAATTTATGTACCTTTAGTCTTGAAATGATGAAATTCCGCAGTACCACTCAGCAACTTGCTTTTCTACATCTGGAGTCTGAGTATGTTTAAATATATCTTTTGAATCGCAAAAGAGTAAAAGGTATGTTTAAAGACAGACTAACGTTTAGTGAGTTACTGTGGGAAGCTGAGCCAGTGAAAGAGGTAAAAATGCAGTAGGGTATTACTTGATCTTTGCAAATCTGTCACCCATATTCACAGCAGATTTTGTGACTTAAATGCTTGCTCTTTTCTTCTTTATTTCCTTGTTTGCATTATACTAACAACAAAAAGATGAGACAAGCCCACCAAAAGACAAGGGGACGTGGAGAAAAGGCATTCCAAGCATTATGAGGAAGACATTTGAAAAGAAGCCATCTGCTGTAGGAACGTTTGGTGTTAGACTAGATGACTGCCCCCCAGCTCATACCAACAAAGTATGGAAGGACAATTTTTCTTTTCATTCTCATTTTAAAATACTTTTTGTATTAATTACTTTAAAATTTATGTATAACTTGTCTTTTTCTTCAGTATATTCCACTGATTGTTGATATATGCTGCAAACTGGTTGAAGAAAGAGGTCTTGAATACACAGGTATTTACAGAGTTCCTGGAAATAATGCTGCCATCTCAAGTATGCAAGAAGAGCTCAACAAAGGAATGACTGACATTGATGTTCATGATGATGTAAGTCTTTGATCACGCTATTTCCAGGTTGAACTCCCCAAAACTTCTGTTTGTGTTGTGATTATAGAAATATAAAGCATGTCTACCCTTTTCTTCTAAATGTGTAGAAATGGCGAGACTTGAATGTGATAAGCAGTTTGCTGAAATCCTTCTTCAGAAAGCTCCCAGAACCACTTTTTACCAATGGTAAGTTGTTTATGTTATGATTTTGTCCTTAGGCATTACTGTTGAACAGTTGTTTTGCAACTTTCAGATTATTTGAGAGAAAATTCGGTGGAGTTGTCCTAACTCTGTAATAAATGCCCTCTTTCTTCCTTAAAGAGCTGGGAGTCATGGTGATCATAGAGCTTAAGAATGAGAGTTGTAAATAGAATTTCTGTGATGGTGAAGGAATTATGAATTTGAAAAAAAAAAAGAGTAAAATTTGCATTTTTACTGTTGCATTATTCTATGGAAGCTGGTTTTTTTCCCACTGCCATCTTATTATATACCATGTAATGGGCTAATTTATGACTTCCAAAGGTCATTCAGATATATATATGGTTTTTCATACATACATACATATATATGTTATCTGTATTCATGGGGGAGGAGTGAGGATGGGGCTGGGGGGTGGGGATGTATACATATATATATATAAACTCATATATGTATGATTAATTTCTGCTTTTTTTATCAGACAAATATGCAGATTTTATAGATGCCAATAGAAAAGAAGATCCTGTTGAACGTCTGAAAACACTGAAGAGACTGGTAAGCTGAAATCAGGTGTGTTGTAGGTGCATTACAAAATTAGCATTAAATGTTTAATGTTCTGAATAGTGATTGTTTGTTTCAGATCCATGATTTACCTGAACATCACTATGAGACTCTCAAGTTTCTTTCTGCACACCTGAAGACAGTAGCAGAGAACTCAGAAAAGAACAAGGTATCAGAAACAAAAGTATAATGTATTTTGGTTTGTTTCATTCATTAAGTACAGTTTTTGTGCAGTTTTTGATAATCTTCTATTGTAGATAAAATTAAGACCTTTGCTCTGTTAAGAAGGTTTTTTTGATTAGACTAAGGACTCCTGAAAAATATGCACCTGTTTAGTGTGAATTAAGTTTATTCAAAGTGGTATTAATTCTTGTGAGAATAACTGCTTATATCTTAAATTTATTCCAAGTCTAAATTTCGTATAATCCTACCTAGATGCCTATAAGAGTGTGCCTGGGTAGGGCACAGGTGAATGTGGCCTGAATGAACCTGTTGACAGAGGCTGTCACACCAGCTTTTTGGAAAGCCTGGCTTCCTGGGCAATTGAGTAATTTTTGACTAGGACTTGCTGTAATTGCTTGGATGTTGGATGGCACCGTAGATGCTGGTTTGACTGGTTTTAAGAAAGAAAATTCATGATGTAAAGGGTGGAAGTTCACCACTACAGGGTCTTAGTGCACCACTAAGAACAGCTTTTTGTTATTTCCATGGGGTGAAGAAGAGTTGGTTTCCATTAAGTGCTTCCATGCATGCTATAATCATACAGTGAATGTAAATAATAATATCCCCTTTTTTTAACCTCTCAGGAAGGGGTAGCTGAATGCAAAGCTGTGCACAATATGAGTGTGCTTATGGATGCCTGCCTCAGGGCAGGTAACGTGGTGGCTTGTCACTTGGCTACCAATGAGCAGGGTATAGGAAAAAAACTTGTCATTGATGCTATGTAGGGGAACCTATGGCCAATCGTAAATCATTTAAAAGATCAGAAAATGACTCAGTTCAAATGAATATGGTAGGTTCCAACATCAGTTCTGCAAGTAATACCTTCTAGTTAAATATGAAAGAAAAATGTGTGTGTGTATATAAAAAATATTTAACAAATAACAACCTAGTGGAATTATAGTTGACATTATAAGGAAATGATAGTAAATGTCATTTTTAAGTGCAATGCCTAAAGTAAACCTTTATTTATTATTGTATGGTTTTGGTGTGCTGTATAAGTGTTGTTCGAATAATGTTAATATTACAGAATATATAAGGCCAGATGAGTGAGGTGATATTATAATTGTATGGTTTGTCAAAGGCCACAATTCAAGTCAAACTGAGCATTAGGGGCTTGTGTCATTATGTATGCAACTTCCTTCTAGTAAGCACAAGGACCTTGCCTCCTACATATTATTGGTCTATTCTATGTCACAGCAGTTATCTGTATGTCAGAGAAGTAAGCAAAAATAGAAGGTAAGTATTCTTCTGCTGCTTTCTTGGAATTATTTGTCAGAAATGTAACATTAAAAGTAAATTAAGTGGATGATTAATGTTGTGACATGATCGGATGACTCTGAGTCTGTCTCACGAATAGATGTCTTGGGGTCTATGATGTTGGTTGCTCCCGCTTCCTCCAAAGTAGTTGTAAATTGAATGAGCTCTTTGTCAGTAGGCATAATACAGTATTTGATTACCAGCTTAATTTTTCCACGTGTCATGTAAACATTTTCAGGAAAAAAACAGTCTTATGGGAAGAAAAAAAAAAAGATACCCCTGAAAGGGTAAAGAATGTATCTGAGTTCTTGGGTTTTCTGTGCTTGTGGAGCTATTTACTTGCAGTGGGTTAAGGAAGGTTAAATTCTGAATTTCAGAAATGTTGGGTGCATTTAGTGCAGCTGCGTATAGGAGAGTTTTAGTGTTGTGTAACATCCTACCTGAGTCACTGATGTGTTTTTTAAAAACCTTTTATTTGTTCTTATTTGAAATGGTTCTCGGATATTAGTAGTGTTATATTACTGTACTTATTAGCCCGTATTACTGTATTTCTCATTATAAATGTATGATGTGGAAATATTTCGTTTCTTAGATGGAACCAAGAAACCTGGCAATAGTATTTGGTCCAACACTTGTGAGGACATCTGACGATAACATGACACACATGGTTACGCACATGCCAGACCAATATAAAATTGTAGAAACACTCATCCAAAAAGTAAGTGGATGCATTTCATTATTTAAAAAATAAGATTGTACACAGATCGACCAGCTTTTCTTTTATTCAACCAGTTTGGGTCTGTTATTTATCCTTTGAACTCCAGGATATTGGTTTTAGTAATGTCCATGTTTGATTGTTCCACACTTGGGTTTTGTGTTTCCTGTGGGGTTTTCACCTTTTTTATTTTAAATTGTAGCATGACTGGTTTTTCACAGAAGATGATGCTGAAGAACCTCTTGTAAGTATTGTGTCATAAATATTTGTGCTCTAATTATCTTAGTTTAGCATCTGCTTCTGCTGCCTCTAGAATGTCTATATTTTTCTTATTACATCACTGTATGGTTTGCTCTTCAGAAGCATCTTTTTAGCTCTCCAGTCCTTGCAGTAATGAATTTAAAAAAAAAAAAAAAAAGCCATGCATTTGTTTTAAAATCATAAAGCAAAATGGGAAAATAAGAACGTGTGAGGAAAGCGTGTGCTCAGGTGAATAATGCAATTTTCTAAATGCTGTTGAATCGTAATGAACTATTTGTGAAACGATGATGAAGAGATCTTTGTTTATTAACTATAGACAACAGTTCAGGAGGAAAACACTGTAGAATCTCAGCCAGTGCCAAACATAGATCATTTACTCACCAACATTGGAAGAACGGGAGTATCTCCTGGAGACGTATCAGGTAACTCTTGTCTGGACAGTGTTAGTCCATAGGCTAGAATAAGCTACTCTGTTAACTCGCTGTAACTCTCTCTTCCTATTTTCTTTTACTAATAAACTGTTTTTCTCTTTTCCAAAAGATCATTAACACTTCTTAAAGACTTGAATTGTTGATAATCATGCATGATATAATTTGGAAAACTTTGTTGTCTAACAGAAATATAACCATTAAAAGATGAGGCTTGCACATACTATTTTATTTATTCACAGTAACCCATGCAATCATCATCGTGAGGTGAAGCAGATTTGCTGCTGTAAAGTGGTTTGTTGTGGTGGCAGAAAGACTGATCTCCAGTGGTGTTCTAATATTACTCCTTCCCAACGTTAGGAATGCAAAAAATTGAGTTATGTTTTCTTGTCAAGTGATGGGCACTTTAATATGTTGCAGTATGTTTATACTAAAGCTGATTTCCTTCTGTTTATAAATGCCATCCTCTTTTGTGGCTAAGGACAAGCATTGCAGGCTCTTTTTTGGTGACTTTTTTCCCCCCTCCCTTCACTATGCTATTGCACTAACCCAGCATGTTGTATCCCACCAATGTTATCCCTTCGTCTCTAGCTTTTGTTTCAGTTTTCAAAGGGTCGTGCAGCACTTACTGAAACAGTCACTTTATACTGATGTTGTAACAGGCGAAGTGGGAGGAGTCTATCACACGGTGATGTCATTAGTGGATTCTGTGATGTCACTGATGGACAGCTGGAACTGTAGGAAGAAGGAGGACTGTTGCCCACACTGTAGCTGCCTTGTCTGCAGAAACCCCCGTTTCTTGTAAATGGAGAAAAAAAAAGAAAAAAGTTGATCTGTGCTGTAAATTTTCTTTTAAGAGTATTTTAAACAGATCAATGCTACTTTTTAAAAGTTTTTCTGCTGTTTCTTGTTATCTCTGAAGCAGACCCTGAGGAGAAATAGCATGGTATGGTCTACCAGTCTTTCTAGTCATAAAGCATTAGCCATGTGTCAAAAAGGGGTGTGGCAGGGGGCTCAGCTCTTTCTTCCTAGGGAGAAAGTCCCTAAAGCTGGAACACATCCAAGTTCATGTTTTTTAGTCACTGTGCTAGCCCCTTCCTACCCCCTTTGTAATTGTATAATCTTGGGTTTTGCGAGACAGTAAAACTATGGTGTCCATTTTTCATTTCATAATAGCGCTTGTTGTAGAAAAGTACAAAACTGGTAGCTGCTGAAATCTAGCCGATTTAAAAATAAAATTTTACCTATACGTAGTCAGAGGTGGAGAGAGATGTGTAATTGGGGTTCTACGCACAAAATACAACTTAATTCCTTTAAAACTTCACAAAAAGAATATGACTACATGAACCATGATTTGTACCTAGGGCAGCCAACGGTACTAAGACATTCAATTTTGCTTTGTGTATCCTGAATCTCAGGAGAGTACACAGTACGATCCTGAAAAGGTCTCTCAGCTGCGGTTTTGCAGGGGCTGTATACTTAAAACATTGAATAAACATTAGTATTTCTGTTTTTTATTTAGAAGAACAGGGCTCCTTTGCCATTCCTATCATTGAGCTGGTTCTGCCTACAATTCACAGCATCCTTTCATGGCGGTGGCTTTCTGTGGTGCAGCTTGCATCTTTGTGAGCTCTGACTATTCACTCTGTTCTGGTTTTTATTTGCTTCACATTTTGTTCTGTGCTTGTCTTTTTCCATAAGTCCAGCATTGTCTGTAGCAGGGATGAAAAAATTGCACAGAACTGAGCAGAATTGTCTTTTTTTTTTTAATTTTTCCACAGATTCAGCTACTAGTGACTCAGCAAAATCTAAGGTAAATAATTTTGTGAAATTATGTAATTACAAGCTGCTGAAATCTTAGATACTTGCTTGCTTTATTAAAATGCTTGTATGCAGATGTACTATAGAGCCTGTGTCGAGTTTTTTGAGTAAGTGGTAATAATACTATTTCCTCATCAAATAATTTTGAAGTGTTACATTGGAAAAGTATCACTTGTTTGCAGTTAGCTGCATCTGCCAAAGCAAGCAGCTGCACATGTTAACAGCTTTGTTCCAAACTCTTGTAATTGTGAATGCTTACCTCCTTTTTGCATCTCATTGAGTAGAGGTAAATGTACATAGTTTATGTTCCCCATTATTGTTGGCATGCTACTTACTCTCCGACAGTATTTGTGTTTCCCTATTTGACTGAAAAATGTGTATGTAGAATTAGCCTTTATTTCCTCAGAAGGTAATGGGAATAATTGGGCTGGTCGCATGTTCCCTTCTGTGTGGTTCGAAAAGCAGATTCCTCAAAAGGCAGAAAGAAGTTTATTTCTGTTAATTTCCTATACTTGCACCTAAACTAGGGTTGTATATAGCTGTCATTGTATTGGTACTATTGAATCGATACGGTTTAAAAATTCAGACGGCCTGAGAAGTGAAAGATCAGCTAGAAAATAGTTGGAGAAATTAGCCTTTCCCCATAGGTAAGACACCTTTGAAGGATGGACTGAAACCACGCTCCTGGGATCTCAGCTGTGAAGCAGTTTCTGTTGCAAACCAATCTTGAAAAGGTCATCTTGCTGTAATGGAGCCTGCTTCATAGTTGATCAAAATCAAAATAGCTGTATATACAAACTAGTCTGTGTCAAGTTAAAGGGATTCAGACGAAAAGTGGAATTTTCAGGATGAGAATTGACTTCCTGGGCAGTGTCATGTAGACTATGCAAAGAGCGTGGAAATATTTCCTCAGTAAAGATAGGCTTTCTGCTCTGGAGATTGGGATACATTTTTTGAAAGTCTCAAGCTAACAAATGTTTCTTTGCTATTTCTAATCATGCGCTCTCCCTTTTGTTTTTTTAACAGGGTTCTTGGGGTTCTGGAAGGGATCAGTATAGCAAGGAACTGCTTGTGTCCTCCATTTTTGCAGCAGCTAGTCGCAAGCGGAAAAAAACAAAAGAGAAACCACAACCAAGCAGCTCGGAGGATGAGTTGGATAATGTGTTTTTCAAGAAGGAGCTTGCGGAACAGTCTCGTGGTGACACAACAAAAGAGGACATAGCTAAAGGGGAGTATGAAAGAGAGAGAGACTTAGGGAGAAAACAGAGGATGTTTGTCCTGAAGGAAAAAGAGAACAGCGTTAAAAAAGATGTGAATGTTGTAAAGGACGAAAAGAAGACATTAAAGAAAGAAAGTACCGTGTCAGAAGAACCTTCACTGCCTTACCATGAAAAATGTACAAAATCATCGAATCTCAGCTCTCTGCAAACCATGCAGAAGAATAACCCAAAAATGCCTAGTTCACAATCTTCTTCCCAGGTTGAGGAGACAGTGTCTGACTCTGGCACTATGCTTAGCACTTCCTCCCAGGCTTCCCAGCACAGATACTCGTGCAAAAAAGTAGCCAGCCCTGACATGAAACACAATGAGTTTTTAGCAGCTGATGTCAGTTCCATCACCTCGGATTACTCAACTACTTCATCTACTGTATATCTCACTGGTTTAGATGCCAGTATGCTGAGCCCTGAGGTGCAGTCGGTGACCGAAAGCAAGGGAGAAGAAGCTGATGATGAGAGGAGTGAATTGATCAGTGAAGGGCGTCCTGTGGAGACGGACAGCGAAAGTGACTTCCCTGTCTTTGCCACCAGTGCTGCTGCTGAAAGGCTGTCCAAGGGGAAGGTTTCAGAAGCGGTGAAGACCAGTCGGAGGAACTCTGAAGAAAGCGAAATAAGTTGTACTGAGGGAAGTTCAACACCAAAGTTAGAGAGTCGCAGACTTTTTAGCTCACACAAACTTATTGAATGCGATACGCTGTCTAGGAGAAAGTCTGCACGGCACAAAACGGACAGTGAGGGTTCAGGGGATGCGAAGAGCGAGAAAGATTTGCCTACTGTGACCAAAATGTTTGACATAATGAAAAAAGGAAGATCGACAAGCAGTTTAGCTACATCAGCCAGAAGCGAGGCTGACAAACAAGAACCTACCTGGAGACTTAAAATTACAGATAGGTTAAAGCTGCGACTCAAATCATCTGCTGACGACATGTTTGGAGTCGGGAATCAAAAAGCTAACTCTGCAGAGACTGCAAAGAGAAAAAACATCAGGCGAAGGCACACACTTGGAGGACAGAGGGATTTCGCTGAAATAAGTGTCCTGAATGCTTGGAAAGCTCAAGAGCCAAGTCAAAGTCGAGAGAGGGAATCTGAGCTTTCAGCTGTGAACCGCTTGAAGCCAAAATGTCCAGCACAGGACCTCTCAATCTCGGACTGGCTTGCACGGGAACGTTTACGCACTAGCACAACTGACCTTAATACGGGTGAAACTGGAAAGCCCAGACTTGAGAACACTAGCTTAGCAGATGTATCAAAGGTGGATCTGCCTTCATCTGCGGAGATGCAGGCAGATGAAGGCAGTTCTTCCAGCAGCTTGACTTCAATTAATAGAACACCACCTTCGGGACCATTTCAGGCACCAGACCAGGTAAATGGTGAAAATTATCAGAATATGAACAAAACCAACTTCAGCCCAGCAGTTGATGCCCATCCTCATAAACTGTCTGGGACCCAAGTGGTTAGATCTCGATTCTACCAGTATCTTTGAAATGGGGAGATATGTCCACTACAGCAATTCATTAACTTACTGTTACACTTCCCAGTAACTGTGTGTATGTGTGTGTGTACATATATATATATATTTTCCTGTACTGTTGTTGTTATGCAGCCTTCATTTGGGCTGGTTTCATCAATATGCTCTGTGGAACGTCTTCACAGTGCATTGCCACAGCCAGAAGAACACTAAAGTTAAAGTATATATATATATTTTAAGAAAAAGTATATTTGATGGCTGCATACAAATGTTGAACAAAGCATCTGATGCGACATGCTGTGTAGTGTATACATGGGTTTCTGACTGAGAGTTGGCCTGGCATTAGTATGCAGAAAAATTGTTCTTTTGGTTTAGTCACTAACAAGTGCCTCATCATAAATTCATTTGGTTTGTTAGGGTGCCATATTGTTAAATTAGAGAAACTTATTACAAACAAATGAATGCATTTTACTGTTAACGAGTTTCATTACATTTTACAAATGTTAACACAGGTGGCTACAGAGCTTCCATTCCTTAGGCATTCCAGTAAATATTGGAGTTTTATATTTCCAATTTTAATACAGATTTTGAGTTTTATGTGACTTGAATTTTTAATCTTTCTGTAAAATAAGTAACTTAAATGTACATATTACATGTGTATCTTTTCTTCAGATACCAGATTTGATATAAATGTTGTAACATAGGCGTGTAGATAGTGGATACTGGATGGAACTGGTTTCTTTTATTGAGAATATAATTCTGCATGAAGACCTAATGAATCCAAACCTGTATCATGCCTGTGTGCATACCCACTTAAACACTGGAAATAAAGTTGTTTTGGTGACTCTTGGCGTGATGGGAATTCATTCTCATGCAGTGGGCCACTGCCCACTGGCTCGCAGAGCTTGCAGTTGCTGCTGGGTGAAGACTTCAAAGTCTCGTCTGTGGGACGAGATCGCAGAGGCTAGCATACGGGAGGGGGGGTCAGTTGGTTAAATATTTTCACCTTGATGCGTAATCAGATTCTGAGGTACGTAGCAAGTTGGTTGATGTTTGATACGCTGGTTTTGCAGCACTGAAAAGCCATGTCCATAATCGTCCCCAAGTCATAAAGAGTGAATACTGGCCTCTGCCGGTCAAAACATCACCGTAGCACAGGTCTTGGACTGTCTGGTTTTAACTGTGAAGATGAGTTTGTACACTGAAACAAACCCCTTCTGTGGGTGAACTCTCTACCAAGTTTTATTTTTTCTCTTCCATTTTCTTGCACACCTATTTCAAAACAAAGCAGCTGTTCATCACTTTGGGTATTCCCGGGACCTGTGCTGTCACTTGCTTGGCAGAGGATTAAACCCGTATCAGTGATAAATTAGCAACAAACATCATGAGCATAGAAAGATTTGCTCCGACACGTGTGTCCTGTTACTGAGAAGGAATGACAGGATCTGGGATGTGTAGGCTGACGTGGTTGCAAGCAGACCTTGCTTCTTTCCAAAGTGGCCGTAACAGTCCCGTGCTTTGATCTGCCGTGGTTTTGAACCTTGTGAGAAACCATTATAAAAACTGGCTGTCAAGAAAAGCGTCGGATAAGACCATTGAAGATCTGTGGAAGTTCTCGCCACATACCTATGTGCATCGAGTACCAAATCACATAAAAATGAGTCCTGTTCTTGTGATCTCCTTGCAAACCAAAATGTCTTTTCCCCCCAAGAGCGAACAGGACACTGGTGCTTCAGCAGCATTCCTGTGCGCAGGGCGAGGAGGAATGGGTATGCTTTGTGAAGCACAGAGGAACTGATGATGTTTTTTGTTTCAGTACTAATAGTAAAGCGTATTTGAACAAGGGATTTCAAAATACAGCATTGCGATGCCTCTGTAATGCTATCCATCAGCAACTACCCATAGTCTCTTCCTGGGGACGTGTTCTGTCCCATCGTTAGCCTCAGGAGCTCATTAGAGTGTGTGTTGAGCACCCCAGTCACCCCAGTAAGCCGCAGGGGTCTTCTCAATGAAGCAGTATACTCGTGGGGGTACGTAAGGAGTCCTGGGGGTCTGCTCTGATTCGACAGCAGTTTCGAATGGATCATATTAATTGTCATTTTGTTGTGTTTATAGATGACTAACTCCCGAGTCAAGATGTGTGGCTGTGAACTCTTACACTTGAGAGCATAGAACTTTCGTTGTGTTGACTGCAGTAGAGCACAAGATCTTTTGAAAAATTTGGAACTTAAAAAAACCAACCTCACAAATCGGGGAATCGTGTTGGCTGACAACGCTACAGGTACAAATTTAAGGCCTCTGCAGCCTCCGTGGTATCTTCCACTGCTGCACTGGCTACATGGAAGCTACAGAGCAGTTGCAGAAGGAGCTTGGACTAAAGTTGGGAATGTCCGGGGGGTGTAAGAAAAGGATTAGGGTGGTTCAGACCACCGCCGCCCTGCCCCGTCCATCCACATCGGGTCTTGGAGGAGGGAACCTGGCAGGCAGCGTGGGAGGGAGGGAGGGAAGCGCTGGGGAAGCACCTGAGGTGAAGAGGAGGTGGAGGGAGGAAGCTGGGAGAGGCACGCACTGAGCTCCACCTGAAGAAAGCAGCAGCACGCGGCAGTGTGGCTGGGCTGGGCTGAGCAAAGGCCGATGCTTTTTCTGCTCTTTTGAAAGACTGCCAAGCCTGGGGCCACCTTACGTTCCAGCCAGCGTGGCAGCTGAGATGACGGGCATTTTCAGGAGCCATTGCTATGCCCTGTTCTTAACAGCAGTGACTTCAGACCCTTACCTGTGGCACTTTTATCATCTTGGTTTTGTTTGGTTTCGGTTTTTCCCCTCCTGCTCTGGAAGAGGAGGGTGACTGACTGACAGAGGAAGGGCAGCGCGTGCGGTAACCTGCCCTGAGGTGAATGCTGTCAGTGCCGGTATTTCCCTGGCAGCTGGATCCGGGGGGATCGCCTGGCCCCAGCAGGCGTAGGAGGCTCAGGGCTCGGGCTGGTTGGGGTTTGAGTATTTGTTTGGTTTCGGTTTTTCCCCTCCTGCTCTGGAAGAGGAGGGTGACTGACTGACAGAGGAAGGGCAGCGCGTGCGGTAACCTGCCCTGAGGTGAATGCTGTCAGTGCCGGTATTTCCCTGGCAGCTGGATCCGGGGGGATCGCCTGGCCCCAGCAGGCGTAGGAGGCTCAGGGCTCGGGCTGGTTGGGGTTTGAGTATCTCCAAGGATGGAGACTCCACAACCTCCCTGGGCGACCTGTGATGGTGTTTGATCGCACTTACAGTAAAAAGAGGTGCGCTTTTTTATGTTTAAGCAGAATTTCATGTGCCTATTTTTTGTTTTTATACTCATCATCAGAAGGATTCAGACTGGCTCAGAAGGTACTTTTGGTCTGAGGACTGCTTGGAGCTGTGTAGCTGCAAATCATTAGGAACAGGTCTAAGCTGAGATCTGAAGAGAAGGAACAAAAGGATGAACTGTGGTGGCAGTAATAGCATTTGGATTTTTAAAATGTTTCCAGTAGTGTTTCCTGTTTCAGCGGGGATCGAGGGTTGTTTGAAGTCCCTCTTCTGGGATCTGATAGCAGTCACACAGCACCTTCCAGCTTTTTAAGCCTCTCTGAAGGGCTTGTGACGGTCCCCGTTAGTATTGCTCACAGCACTGATAACGTGGAATTAAGACATGGCCACAGTCCAGATGGTTTCTTGACTATCTTTCACGCTGCTGCAGAGCTGAAGGAAAATCCTTTGCTGAGCTGCACCTACGGGTCTCTTCTTCTGTCTGCAGCGATCTTGGGAGAACCTCTCTCCACTCCATTCAGGCAGGAGGAAGGCGTGTGAAGTGTGGGCTCATCTGCTATAAGAAGCTGTGCTCTTGTTTTTAAAGCCAGGTCATTACACTATCCCCATTTAGATTGTAATCAAGCAATTAATTGTGCCAGCCTGCAGGAAGAAGGGTGTAGTTTGCTGCATGGCTGGGAGGGCGAATGCCTTGAACCAGACCTGCTGTTGCGAAAGTGGCTTGCATTCATGAGACCGTAAATACCTGCCTTGATGTCTGTTACCCAACCTGTGAGTTAAGCGTGCAGGAAGAGCTGCCTCTGGGCGGGGATCAGATGGGGTTTGGCCCTGTACGTTTCTAGGCAGGGATGTCCTGCACATCGCTCCTCTTCCCTGCCCTATGCATCGTCCTCAGCTCTGCCTCCCCACCGCCGTGCCCTGCCTGTCGCAGGGGCTGGGCGCCACGTTGCTTCGTCGTTGCTGCAGTTCCCGTAGGTGCAGTCAGCCGGTGCGTGGGGACGGCGCTTCCTCTGCCGCGAGGTCCTGGGCTGGCACAGACTGCAACAGGCAGCCGGAAGGTCCTGCTCGCCGTCCAACTCCTCTCACCTCCAAAGGGAGGGCCAAGCCCCTTCGGTTCTGATTTTTTTTGGAGCAGTGAGGTCCCATCACCTCTGAGCCTGCAGGATTGCTGCAAACTAAAGAAACTCGGTGGCTGCTCACAGAGGAGCCATGTGCTGGTAGCAGGTCCAGTCCCCTGGCGATGCAGCGCCCTGCTGGGTTGGGTTTTGTGAAGAGCCTCTGTCATTTCTAAACTGCCCCAGAGCCAGTGAGAGCTTGATCTGGAATTGTGTGCATCAGGTGCCCTGGCGACAGCGAGGAGGGTGGGCTGGTTTTTTGCATATTCCTCTTTTGAGCATGGGCCGGCCGTGGCCTTGCCTGCTGGGGGCTGAGGGCTGCTCTGTTAGCGCTGAGCACCGACTGCAGCTGTAGCTGCCTGGGCTCTCGCCCCTAACTGGCTGCAGTCACCTCCACCAAAACCGCCTCCTCTTACCTGCTTTGTAGTGAGAAACTTGGCTTTTTAATCCCTAGCCCATGCTGCTCCCTTCTGCGCTCAAGCGGTTTATTTACAGACTTGCTGCTTTCTCTAAATACTCTGCCCAGCGTTGAAGAGCATTCCCAGTGCGGAGCCAGGGCCTGCGCGCAGCCCCTCCCTGCCTCTGTGAACCCCTGACAGCTTCACGGCTCTGCAAGTCGGATGGGGAGGGGATAAGCGCTGCCTGGCTCCCGGTGGTCCTGGCAGCGGTGCCTGCGCAGGGGGTTATGTGCTGAGACAGGGGTTGGTTTCCTGGTGGGTGCTACACCCCAGCGCTGAGGGCGATACATGGATGGGGGTGTGGG